CTTCTCTGAATTTTCTGGCTGCATTAAAATCCACACCCCCACCTCCCCATATACATCCTACCACTAGACAGAATCCAGATAGGTAATTTAATGTGACATACTTCACAGAATCGATTAAGTTGGAAGAGACCTCTGGCATCATCGAGTCCAACCTTTGCCCTAACACCACCATGTCAACTACAGCATGGCACAAAGTGCCATGTCCAGTTTTTTCTTAAACACCTCCAGGGATGGTGACTCCACCACCTCCCTGGGCAGCCCATTCCAATGCCTGACAACCCTTTCTGTGAAGAAATGTCTCCTAATATCCAAGCTAAACCTCCCCTGGAACAGTTTGAGGCCATTTCCTCTTGTCCGATCACTTGTTACCCGGGAGAAGAGACCAACCCCCATCTCACTACAACCTCCTTTCAGGTAGTTGTAGAGAGTGATCAGGTCTCCCCTCAGCCTCTTCTCCAGACTAAACACCCCCAGCTCCGTCAGCCACTCCCTATCAGACTTGTGCTCCAGACCCTTCACCAGCTTTGTTACCCTTCTCTGGACACACTCCAGCAGCTCAATGTCTTTCTTGTAGTGAGGGGCCCAGAACTGGACACTGTACTCAAGGTGCGGCCTCACCAGTGCCGAGTACAGAGTACTTCAATTTATTGGTATGCTATCTGCTGTGGTTTTTCAGCTTGTCTCCAATAATCAATGCTTCAAATCCAGTGTTTTTAAGAACTATTGCATAGGACATTTGCCTTCAGTTTTTAAATCCCATTTCTTTTTCTTGCACACATTATTTCCCAGGTCTATTGTTAATGTTTTGAACTGGCTGCAACTTTCTCCTCTTAAATATGTGCATTACTCTCAAGAAGAGCTATTTTGAAATCCCTGTAATGTCTACACATCAATGCTTGTTTGATGTTTTAACTCAAACATAAGTTGGGAAGTTAATGTACCACGATCATCTTGGCCATTCCTAATAGTTATATTAATTATTTCTACCATAACTTTTCAGTGCTTGTAGAACTTGCCTGCCTTTCTTTACAGGTTGTCATTAGTTCTTTTATTCTCTCTCCCCTGCCGTCTGTCTTCTCTCAGTTACCAACCTTGCCCCTTTTTAGGGCAGAACATGTAAACTTCAAACTGGTCATCCACATGCTTTTTCTTTTTATCTTGCATTCTGTTCAGGCTGCCTGCAGCTTTTTCTGATCTAGTGAGCCACAGGCAGAGGGAAGAAACCCCTTGACACTCTCAGAAGTACCACTGCTTATACTTGCTGGAGAGGGGCAAAGAGGCACACGCCTCCCTCTACACCCTCGACTATAGCACTCCCCTCGCTGACACTATCTCCACCTCCTACTGCAACTTCAGTGCGTGCAGGAAAAGCACAACTCCAAGACCCACAGAGGGGCAGACCTCAGTCAGTCTGATTTTCCAGTTCACTGAAGATAAGAAAGCAGTCTTTGCTGTATTGTTGCATTAGATGAATACAAATTAAGTCTTTACACTTTTTTACTGGAAGGCAGAAGGTGAGCCACCCATGGGATTCTGTTATTGTTTCCAGCAAAGGAGAAAAACTGTTTCATTACCTTAAGTTCAGGAGATAGGCAGAATGGAAACCGCTCCTAGGCTGCAGCACCCTCACTGACACTGTTGAAAAAGTGTCACTTTTTTTTTTTTACTTTTTCTCAACTTCTTGGTGAATAAAGAGTGAGAGTGACCAAGTGTGTGTGTGTGTACTCATATATACACACCTATGTATATACACACACACAAAGAGCATAGGGTTTAATGAGCAAGTTCTGGATAGAAGAGACTGGGGCAACTCCTTTTATACACAGTTATTTCCATTAAAAATTAGTGCCAACGTACCTCTTTGAACATGCATTGTATGGATAAGATTAAGTTTTTCAGTTATATATGACAGAAGAGTCTGGCTAAATTATTTTTTAATTTCTAAGAACTAAGGTCTAAGTTATGAGTAAAGTTTTTAAGAAAAAACCCTAACATTTTCAATTTGCTTAGTTGCAGTAGTTCTTCTTATACCAATTACTTAGTTCTTAAAAAATGGAAAGAATGGAGAATGGAAAGTTGAATTTTAATTTTTTACAACCTAGACCGGTGGAATTTTCAGAAGCAATTTTATTAGAAGTTGTACTCCCAAGATACTTTAAAGATTTTCATCACTCTTGATCTTAATTTTGCTCGATCATTTGCTTTCCTGCCCTCTAGTGCTCATACCTATTTTAATGTTCTGTGCAAGTCTGGTTTTGGAAACCTCCTATCATACAAGTGGTCCTACTGAAATAAAACTATTTACTTATTGCAATACTGCAAGTGATCTAAGCAGTACATTTGTTGTTGCGCATATATGTATCACACTGCTACCTATGCAGTGTCCTGGTTTTGGCTGGGATAGAGTTAATTTTCTTCCTAGTGGCTGGTACAGTGTTTTGTTTCAGATTTAGTATGAGAATAATGTTGATAGCACACCAATGTTTTTAGTTGTCGCAAGTAGTGTTTGTACTAAGTCAAGGACTTTTCAGCTTCTCATGCCCTGCCAGTGAGAAGGCTGGAGGGGCACAAGAAGTTGAGAGGGGACACAGCCAGGACAGCTGACCCCAACTGACCAAAGGGATATTCCATACCACACGATGTCATGCTCAGTACATAAACTGGGGGGAAGCTGGCCAGGGGCCGCTGCTTGGGAACTGTCTGGGCATTGGTCGGCAAGTGGTGAGCAACTGCATTGTGCATCACTTGTTTTGAACATTCTAACTCTTTTATTATTATTACCATTATTGTTATTTTCTTCCTTTTCTGTCCTATTAAACTGTCTATCTGAACCCACGAGTTTTCCCATTTTACTCTTCCAATTCTCTCCCCCATCCGGCTGGGGGCAGGGGGGTAAGTGAGCGGCTGTGTGGTGCTTAGTTGCTGGTTGGGGTTAAACCACAACAGCAGTTATCTGAAAGGTAAGAATTTTCAGGTTACTTTTCATTTTACAAAACCGGTGTAAGGCAGTTTTCTTTTTCAGTTTTGGACCATATAATAGAGTTTTAAATGCATATATTGAAGCTTACTCCTGGATTTATTATTAAAACATTTTCACTGGCAGCTAAAGTTGTTAAGCTATATACCAAACTACATGTTTCCACAGTATTTACCATTCTTAATCCACATTAAAAGCTTTTCTATGTAATGCAATTAATTTCCCCTCTAATGATGTAGTTTGTTATAGTATTGTGCATGCTTACAATTAAAACAATGAGTTGACATACTACATCTGTAATTACTCCGATGCTACCAGAAAATCAGCGAATTAAATTTATTTAGTGTTAAATGGATATGGAATGTTATACAGTACATGTAAAGACACTTCAAGATGAGTAAAGCAGAACTAATTGCACAAGAGATTAAAGGTTCACCTCAATAGTCAGTATTATCAAATCATTACAGCTTCCATCTTCAGAGTGCAAGGTATGTCATGCAAAAAAAAAAGCTCAAAAAATCCCCAAACAGACAAAACCAACATTGTGGTACCACTTGAAATGCTATCATACCACAATATTTTACAAGACATTAAGTGATCATTCATCAAGAATGAAGCATTTTAGCAATAACAAAAAAGTTTTAAACATACTTAACAGATTTTGCATGAACACCAATTCCAGCATTACTATACCTAAGGAACAGGCAACATGCTGGGAGAAAGTACCTAAAAATCAAAGCCTTTTTTATTCATAGCCAATATTACTTTCTGCAAGAGTTATGCAATCTTATTATTCAGATTCCCCACATAACTGGGTAAGGTTCAATACATTTTTACATAGAGCATAATCACATAACCACCACATCAGCAAGACAATTTCATTATCTTGACCAGTTACTACATTTAAAACCATGGTATGGTAACATGCTCTGCAAACAAATTGTCTTCTGGGACAGCATCCTGTATGTAGAAATATAAAACAACTAAAATATACTCCTAACCACTTTAACCCCAAATGAACTATAATTTGTATTTACATATTTTTGAAATATGTAGGTAAAAACTGCAGATGGAAAAGAAGCAGAATACACACACGAGAGCTACAATAGGGCTGACTGAACTGATCGGTGCATTCAGTAACCCCGAATGAGACTTGAACAGTGGGTTATACCTTTCGTACACTTCCTCCACCCAAGTGGTCTTACCAGGGCTACTGAAGTCAGCTGCTGCCGTGGAAGAGCTGCTCATTCTGCTTACACACTCTTTGCCCAGCTGGCCGAGCACAGGGAGCAGAACCTTGCACCCCGACCAGTTCCACTCAGCCTAAAGCACTGCAGATAAACACACTTCTATGCACCTGCTTCAGCTACAGCTTGAACATTAACATGGAAGAAACACAGGAGATGACAGGATGGTTTTTAACATTTCCACCTCGCAATACTCGTATCCTGAGGGCACCAAAAGGTAGATTAATTTATCAAAATAAGCATACAAAAAAAGCCAAGTTGTTTGCCCTCATATTAGGAATAAACTATTTAACTTCCCAGCTTAAATGTAAGCAAGAGGAACTCAAGAAAGACCTCCTTGAGGTTAATTTTCCAACTACATTCAAAGAAAATAATTTACTAAAACTGTAACTTGCAAGGTCTACTAGCCTTGAAGTGAGGATACAGGTTAACTATATCTATAGTTAAATAAAAAAATTCAGAAGACATTTTACAGGAATAAAATATGCAACTCTAGGAAGTAGGTGGAAAAACACTTTAGTATTCATCTGGAACATTCTATTTCCATAGCCTATCATTCTCAGGAACATATATTTCATAAATAAAAATACTGAACAAAAAATTTGCATATTCAATCTAAAGTTGGATATTTCTAAACCTCTTCAGATAAAATTTGCTTTCTCCCTCACAAATAAGTGATAAACCCTGAAAAAAAAAATTGGCTTTTCAAATCTATTGTGCATGAGAATACACAGATGAACAAACCAACATCTGGAAAAAACATTTTGTACAAGGTTGCAGTTCTAAAACACTTATATTACAAAGCAATGTAAATAAATACCAGGCTAGTACAAAAGCTCTTATTTACAGTTTTACAAATGAAAACGTTTTCAGTGTAAATGCAGTGTTTTAAAGAACACAATATTAGTAAAATGAGTTCCTGTATAGAGCATTACAGTTTCTGCTAAATTTCAATGCACTACTGTATAAAACCATTGTTTCAAGTTAATTTTTGTTTATAATTTAGTACAGCCAAACCCCAGTTTATGCCTGGAATGGTATCTGTTAAAGTGCTGAAAAAGAGGACATTTCTGAAATTGTAGAAAAACATACTGTACATTATTAAAGCTTCATCAAGTCAAAAAATGGTATATTTTGTTCACATTTGCTACCACACCACCTGTGGATGAAAGTTTTTCAACAACTCGCTGTAATTGACAGGATGGCAGCCACTGGTATCTTCGCATCCAAAGTCTGGTTATTTCCCACAAGTAAGTTGTCTTAAGCTTCCGTGGTGGCTTCAGGTTTCATAATCTGGTAAGTAATCAAGTATTCTGGATAAGCCTGAAAGAGTGACACACACATTCTTTATTATGATTTCATTTTCTGGATAAAATTAGAATGTTTTCTGGAGAGGGGAAAAAAAGTATTTATGCCAAGGAAAAAAAGGCAAAATGTCAAATGCTCAGAGCATTCAGGAAACACAGATCCTCTCACCTGCAACCACCGTTGGAGTTTGTTTTAAGACAAAAGCAAGTCCTAGCACCTCAGAAGTAAGAAAAAACCCCAACACCTTACATGCCTTAAAAAAATAAAGCCTGAAAAAACAAACCAAAAAGCCATTTACCTGCTCCCCTCTGTAAATGACATATTCTGCCAATGCCAATCCATTTACACTGGGTCGCCCAGTAACCGAGTGATGTCCTGGGGGAGAATGAGCCATTTTCATTGCACTGAACTGCAGGAAAGACTTGCCCAGTGTTACACGACAAAACAGCAGTTGCCTGTATTAAGAGGGGAAAAACGCCATGAATAGAAAATGTTTGTGACACTCCAGAAAGACTATCTTTATAATTTGAAACTTATACTTGAGGAGAATATTAAACTTTAAAGTAACTTTAAAGCCACTTTAGTCACTCTTTGTAGTTCACAAAATTCTAAAGTTCTGAAGAAAAAAAAGTTATTCTCCCTTTAGAAAAGCTCTTCAGCCTGAGGAAAGGGTTGGTAATAACATCAAAAAATGTTTAATCTTAATTACTGGAAACAGTATGCTTAACAATGTACTCAAAGATTGTCACTACTTTTTCGTTTTTGTGGGGTTTTTTTGTGGTTAAGTTTTCTGAGGGTACCCCACATCGCTCACACTAACAACATAATTCACTTGCATTCTAACACTAGATTTGTATCTGGCAGCCAAATCAACATCAAGGCCAAGTGCAAACTCTAAGTCAACATGAAATACCTCATATTAGCATTTGTCAGTAAGTTATGTTGTTTTCATTACAAAAAGACAGAACAAGGGTACTTATTTCTTTACATATGTACTAATGCAATGGCAATGGAATCTCTGCATTTTTGTAGACCAATGTTATGTACCATTTTGCTCACACAAAACTTTTGCTTTTCTAACTCTTCACACAAGACAAATTAAAAAACTTCTCATTCAAAACTTTAGAAAGCATGAAAAGACCCTGACATCCTCTGTAACTCTAGAAGATTATTCTCTTTATTTGAGACTGCCAGAAAAGGGTAAGCAATATGAAAAGGGGCAGAGACTCAAGGAAGGAAACTAGAAGAATCTTATCCCTGTGATACCAATGCAAACCAGTATACACACAAACACACAAAATATTCTCCTGGTTGAAATGATGGCCACTACCACAATTAACTCCATGAAATAAGAGTAACTTTATTGTGAACTGATGGTGCCAATAAGACATAGCAGGTGTTCTGCAGAAAAGTGGATTTAAGAACTCAGTTAGCAGTAGAGAGTCCACAAAACCACTTTGATATTCTAGTGTGTGAAGCAGCAGTGATGTGGGGGCTGACTGTTGCAAAGTACATTCTCCTCAAAGAAATACAGCATCTGAGTATAACTGAATTTCTCCTTTCTCTGTAACAGGCCAGAGACTGAACTCTCATATTGCTGCATCTAGCAGATCCTGTTCACCCTCTGGCTATCTGATTTTTACAGTAAGTTAAGGGCATAGGTTTGGTTAAATGCACTCAAGATGGTTAAAGGTTCGTTAAGACTTAAAGATCAAAGTTTTCAGAAAGTCTCTATTAGGCCCAGCATATAAAGTGTGCTGAGAAGGTTTGGTTACCAAGCAAATCTTTCTTCAGAAAGAGACTCTGCTGACTTGATGGTCTGTAACACAATATACAAAGGTAAAACCAGATTCTTTTGAATGACTTACCTGTGGCAAACATAACAAGATCTATCTTTGTGAATTGGACATCCAGTGCCACCTCCAATTCCATAGACATATTGATTGCTTTTGGAAGAATTTTCAGCAAAATAAATCCCAGCTCCAAACATGCCGCCTATATAGGCATGTCTCTCATCAAAGCCTTTGTGAATGATTGCATTCACAAATGGAGAGCCTAAGAGAAAGGAAGTAAAATACTAAAAATACAGTATACAGATTTTTTTGTGTGTCATAATTCAATCATACATTCCCTGATTTTTTTTTGTACAGTTTTTCTACACATACAAAGAAATCAATCTCCAGAAATTCTGACCTCATCATTTACACAGCAAATTTGCTAGAGGTATTACATAAATGACAGTAGCTGGATACACAAATGATAATATCCGAGACAACTCTTGCTGCAAGAGAAGGCTCTACGAATCTGCACTCCCTTTCACAGAGCTTCATTCTAACCAAGATTCATTGAAAGCATTGCTATGCAAATCCTGTCTTCTTGTAGGTTGCATTTAAAAAGGAATAAATGTAAACCAAAATTTATTTACTTGCAATGGTCATGAAATTTAGCCTTAAAAAAATAATCTGTTCAAAACGGTTGGATCCTGCATCTGATACGCATTAATTTTCACAAAACCTGCAGGTTTTTTTAGTAAGGAATTTTATAACAATATATACAAATATGAAAGCACCTTTAGAGAAAAGCTGTTCTAAGAGAACATGGCATTTCAGACTTATGTTGAGAATTACAGTGAAAATAATCCAAAGCCTTATCCTCCAGCCTAAAGACAATAAAACTGTGTATGAAGCAGAAGAACATTCCAGATGAGAATGATAAAAACCTATGACAATTGCCCATCATCTTCTGCAAGTAGCATACGTGGTTAAACTCGTATGTTAATGCTCAAAAAAGATTACATAAACTAAAGACTTAAAAACCCCTGAACACTCACAAAGTATTAATTGCTTTGTTCCAGGGATAATTTTGTTATTATCAAGCTAATTTAAAAGACTCTCCCTTAAAGACAGGTCATTCCACTAAAAGGCCTTTTCCTCTTACAGGGGTACAGACCAAAGTCAAAAGACGGGATTTAGATATCTAGAAGTTAGGGCAAGCAGTTAATTATTGTGTTATTGCTGCTTCCAACAGTAATGTATTATCTTGCAAACTATATAGCTTTCATTTAATTTTGTTATTATCAAGCTAATTTAAAAGACTCTCCCTTAAAGACAGGTCATTCCACTAAAAGGCCTTTTCCTTTAGTAATGTATTATCTTGCAAACTATATTGCTTTCATTGTAAGGATGTACCTTGAACTTGCTTAACGTGCTCGTCAGGACAAATTACTGATTTGTGCACAGGAGAGCTTTCAATTGCCTTTAATTTGCTAATTATAAGCTATCTTTTCTGGAATGATGAACAAGAACTAACTCAGCAAATTATAAAAACAAGAAAACAAAAAAAAAATCCCACCCCAAACCCCAAGACAACCCATAGCAGAATAAAGTTTGACCTTTAATCATTTTGGTCATACAGCCCATAAAAAAGAATTAGTAACTTAACCAAGGAGAAGGCATACCCCTTAATCTCCACTCATAATTGCTAAATTACTTTCACTTAGAACTCTGAGGTGTCCTTTAGGGAGAGACAAGGAGATGCAAATTTCAGAAGAAAGATGCAGTGTGGTTTATGGCCCCATTGTGACATATACAAACACTTGTTCGTGTAAAACTCATGCAAAACCTAGAATCTATTTCCATTGAGAAAGATTACTTTGTTTGATCCAGTAGCAACCCTCCAATAAAGAGTGCTGATGGTGAAACGAGTTCATAAGGTGAATTTCAGTATCTTACCATGAAATAGCATCCTTTCATTAGCATGGTTATGATTCTCTTCAGAGACCTCTTTCCTCCTGTGAGTATATCTTTCCCATAGTTTTTTGTTGCACACTTTCTGAATCTGAAACAGTCAAAATGCAAGTTCTGCCCTGAAACTGAAAACTTCTGTTTGCTTTACTTGACAGGCGTTTAACCTATAGCAGCTATACCACAGTACACTTAACCTACCACTTAAATAATACTTTCCTTAGAACTGAACGAAACACAAATTCTCTAACTTATCCTGCAGAAGTTGATTGTTGTAGTATAACTTAAATCATAATTATATGCTTAATTAAGAATCAATTAATTTTAAACATCTGTTGAGTAATACTTCTTAACTTAAATATAGCAGGCTTAGTCACAATTCTACTTGAGCATCACTCCAAACATAGCTTGATGCCAAGCCACTAGTAAAAAGATGATCTAGTAAATTAACAAGTGTCTTCCATGAAGACTTCTAGAACACTTTTAAAAGAAAGTAAATTATGTACTCTCTGCACAGGTATGCTGGTCACTGGCAAAGCCATACGTGTGTAGATACAGCGTAGCAATTCTACTGGGGAAACTGTAACATCAGTTCAGAATAAAACTTCGTAGTACTTACTTGCAAATCAAAACCTCTATCATTTTAATGAAAATGACCATCCCTTCAGGGCAAAAAAAAATATGCAAACCAAAATTCCATTAAATTATTTAAAGTAAGGTTGTCTACTGCCTGTTGTTCTAAGCTTCTTTGGTGTTAAATTAAGCTGAAATAGGTACCCTTACTTCCATGCTTCAAGACTTTTGCTTTCACTTCTTGCTGTTCTTTCCTTTGCCATTCCCCCTACAGAAACCTTCTTTTGCTTCCTATAAAACCTTCTTGTCTTTTTCTTCAAACATTCTGCAGTTTTCTGTGAGGTCCTTCTATGTTTATTTTGCATAAAATTTTTTAATGACTATTAACCCATAAGCAGTTTTTCCATTTAAACTTATTCTTTGGATTTCCCTAGATTGATCTTTTCCTGGGCATATCTCAGAATGGCACATCTTATCACATTATGGAACTCAACAAACAAATGTAGAACATTTTATGGACATTTTATTTTCAGCCAAAACTCTAAAGGTGTAACCATCAACCATAAACATGTAAGTCACCTTTAAGATGTTGTATCTATTGAAGACTCCACCAGCATGTCCTCCATCTCTATGCTCTCGAACAGTACTCTGCATCTGTAGATTGAGAATTTTAAGGATGATTACTTTCTTTCAGAACACATTCAAAATCCATACCCTTCACACAGTCAAATAATCAAAAGAACTAATTCTACCTTAAAAAAAAAAACACAACAAAAACCCAAGAAATTTTTAGGCAATGACTGTATGTTAAGTAATGTCAGGTTTTGTGGATGCACATGAACAGGTTTAATGATTTTTTTTTTTAAAAAGTGTCTTGAAGAGTCCAAGGTCTAGTTTTCAAATTGAAAATGATTGTCACTAATCTATTTAGAATTTTGTTTATTCAGATTTTTGTCCTGTGTGATTACGACACTTTGGGGAAGGAAGTGACTTAAAACTGTATAACAGACAGGCAATTGGTTGCATGGAATTTATATGTTATATCTAAGAGCTTTTCTACATAGTAGAGGTTTTTAAAATACTACAAGCGTAATAACCTAGGTAAGAAAAAGATTACGGATGTCATGAGCACAGACTATAAGTGCTGCAGTCAAAGGTGGAAATTTGAAGTAGCCTTATGCAAGTTTTTCTCAGGCTTAGAGATGTTTATTGCACTGTTAAATTGTCTAGCAATACATGTTTATCTCCTCCTTCAGAAGAAATAACATACTGAGAGACTACAAAAAAAAGGCATACCTCTTCTTCTACTGATTGAAATTCCTTATCTTCAGTGGACAGATCTATGAGAATAGTTCCGCTACCAGAAGTATTTAGAGTCAGGTATGGGTTAAGTCCTGTGAATACAACAAAACACAGTAACAGTTTCTGAAACTGCTTTAAGACTGCTGATTTTGAATGATAACCAGTAAGAGATTTTTTTTTTTTTTTTTTTAAAAAGGGACTATTTTCTCAAAACTCTGTTTACAAGATGAAGAGGTTAGCTGCTAAGGAAGGCAGAGATAACCAATGACTTTAATTGTGTTCCATCAGCCACATACATTCTTGTGGATGCCAAAGTGCAATCCCTAAAATTACTTTGTTAGTTTCAAACAAACTTTTTCAGCATCTCTGTTTATAACCTCTACCCATACATTACCATGCATACACTATAAATGCCATGAGAAGCACAGCAGCTGGGTTTAGATGCAGATGAACGGCAATAATTTTCATTGATCTGTGGATACTGATCATTCTCTCAACAAGAATAAACATTTCAGACACACTAACCCATTTGTCTGTGCTTAGCTCAGTATGTTAAGGTACATGACCAGGGAAACTACATGTAAACAGTTGCTTTCTTAAGAGTTCATTTCAACTCTAGGCAGTGAAACAGTGAGCAACCTGTCCCTGTACAGAGTCCATGTCTACTGATGGCAATGGCAATGAAGGAAACTTCTCAATCATTCCAAATAAGAAAAAAAATTGGAATTTTATGCAGAATCCATCGTCAATTTACATACAGACTTCAATCACAACTAGCAAGTAATGGGAACGGAATTACTGGACATAAGAATACAAAGAAAAAAAGTGTATCAGGTGTCTTTTTGCCCATGGCCTTCCCAGACAACTAGCAGGTGATCACAGTTAGATGCTGGATCTGTCATAATCTCTCTAGAAAGGAATAATGTGGGGAAAAGGGAAATTACAGATTCATCCAGTCAGGAGCCTCATGTTAGCAGTGTGCAACTAGAATATTCAGGAGCACGAAACTCTGGCACGAAATCATGGTAATAACACTCTTCCACAAAATCCCTACTAACCTCAAAATAACGGCTATACCATGTTCAGGAAGAAATATCAAAATACCAATGCAAACATACTTGAGTGCACGGAGCACAATGGCAAGATATAGAGAAACTGACAGAACAACCAAAAGACAACAATCCTCCCCTGTCCCAAAAACACACCCTAGAAAAAAAATTAAGAGCTGTTGAAATAGTCTGTTTAAGTACTTATGCCGGTGGTTAATGTTACAAATGAAAATGTCAGGCCTTTTAAGGCAAGACAGCAAGAGTCTAGAAAGAATGGGGGTGGGAGTGGTGAAGGATTTAGATGTTTCACATTCTGTCTATATACAGATGTATTAAAATTCGTACAAATATACTTTTATTAAAAAAGACATCATTTCTACTCGCAAGGAAAAAACAGTGTATGATTACTGGTTGTGTAAACTTAGAACTCAAACAGGACATGAGGCTGAAATGACACCTTAAAAGTAACTTCTATCCAAAATACCCAATGAATCTGTCAAAAACCATCTGACAATTAAGAGAAAATTATGAGGATTCGCTTATACTTCATTACTAGGAAAAGGATTGTCTTAAGGGTTGGTTAATCCTGTTTTAAGACACAAAAATAATTTGGAGCTTGGGATAGTGACTCTCATTACTATGGAGTGCAGATTTTAGAATGAGAATTCACAGATGGCGTCTCAAGAGGGAAAAAATCCTACAAATTCTAACTAATTTATTCAATTTCTACGAAACACAGCAAAACAACAGTAAGTGATGTTTCAGTGAGACAAGGAGGAAAAAAAGGTTTGTTTGGGTTTTTTTTGTCTCTTAAGTAGCCGTAGTTAAATGAAGCATACTATTCCCAGGATTGTGCTGGTATCAACAGTGCTGCACAAATAAAGAGGTTTTAGCATAAACTTCAATACAAGCTGAAGCTGTTAAACAAAGCAATTATGTTAATTTTTGTTCACTGGAAGCACACGAACTGTATTTTTAAAGGACAGTATATGTAAGAATTTCAACTGGCTTTCTGAGAGAGCAAACGTAGTATTCTTTTGCGGAACCCAATGCAACAGTATATAACAGACCCTAGCCCATCAATAGAGAATGTGCCCTGCTCTCCAGAATGCTCTGAAGAAGGTAAATAGCCCCTACCTTAAAATGCTTACAGTTTTTTTGCACTAGATCTACACTTTACCTAAGTAAACACAAAACAGTAATCATGAAGAAAAAAAAAATAATTAGAGAACCGAAAAGCAAGATTCACAGTAATTCACAGCACAAATAAAAGTGCTTATGTTTCAAGTTAAAGACATTCTTGTCATTTGAAGTGCCATTTTCTAGGAAAAGTTTTATTATCAATTCTTTTTAATGTGATACAATTTGGAATAATCTAAAGCATTTGTAAAAATGTATTCTGTAGAGGCAGTGTTACATGATAATCTGAAACAAGTATATACCTTGCTGTCCAGAAATGAGTCGTTCAACTCCTTTAATGATTTTATGCCTATGGCCATAAGCATTAATTCCAATTTCCTTTAATTCTTTGTGTCCCATTTCAACCAATACATCCAGCGTTATCTATAATGAAAGCAACACCATTTTTTTGTATGACACTAGACTAGAACAGCTGCCAGTGAAAATATACCTCACAATAGCTGAGATAAAAAGCAAGTGTGAAAAGAACATGAACATAGGAGACTTGAGTGTATTATTCTCATACTTTACTTTTACTTAACTGTTTTCTCCAAACTTTTGTCTTTAAATAAATATCCTACAAAATACAATCGTGTAACTCGTATTTGCTTGCAACGATCATGCTTCTGATTGAGAATACAATTTTCTAGGTGTATTCAAGCCAACAGAAACAAAACCAGAAATTACTAATCAACACTGACTACTCATTTACTCCACCATTTATACCACTGAAAGGAAACACGTCTACACTCTCAAACTGATACAGACATTATCGCCTGCATTTTTTTATATATACATATATTTTAACATATATTTATATTATATATCAATTAAAAAAATCCAGTTACACTCCTTTCCTTCATTCAACTCCTCCTGACATTCACTCATTTTAAATGCGTCTCATTACGTTATTCTAAACAGTCAGTATTTATTCCCTTGCTTTCTAGCTGAGTATCTGGAAATAAATATAGCTACTTACCTGTTCTCTCTCAAATATATCAATTAGATGTTCAAGGCCAAGGTTCCGCACAAACTGATTTATGCTAAAATCTACACCTGAAACTGGGTAAGAAGAAACACTCACAATGAACATTCATACATGTATTGTAAAATAAAGTACGGGCATCTCACACTGTCTGTGGCAAAATAATGAGAGAGACAGAAATTCCTGGTCTTCTGAAGATGGGGAATAAATATCTGTATCACTCATCAATGGCAACTATTACTTAATGTACCCTAGTACTCTAAGATTTCTACCCCTCCCAAAAGCAGTCTTCGTGCTTCTATGAGATAAGCAACTAACTAGTTATGAGAAATGCATGTTCAAATAGAAAATACTTCGAGAATTAAAACATTACAGAAGTAGCCTTTTCAAGATATCTGATCTAAGAATAGCCTCTTAGAAACTAGATAAAGTTTGTAGTAAAATACTGCTTGGTATGGAGCTAGATTTCATTTGACTTCTCTTTTAAAACACAATTCACCATTTTGGTTCTGTATGGCAAAAAAGGAACATTTTACAAAGATTCTGTAAGGGGAAAGTACTAAAATCTTACACTCCAAGACTTTCAGACTTTTGTTCCTCGTTAACAACATCATACGGAATAGGGTTACTGCATATACTGTAGTAACTGTGGGTATGTGTGGGAAACTTCACACTTGTATATTCTTTTTGCCATATGGTAGAAAATGTTATTCATTCCTAACTGAGAAAGCCTCACCTTCTTTTTTCTCCAGAACAGTAGCTCCCTCTGCACTGTTTGTACCAACAACAGAAGGAAGTTCAGAAAAACTACCAGACAAGTTGTCAAGACTACTTGCAGCTGACAGACTGGATGGACTGGATGGAACAGAAGACAAGGAATCAGCTGTAGAACCTGTAGCTTGAGACACACTTATAACCTGAGGTTTGTAGCAAGTCGGTAAGGCGGAAGGAGGCATTGCCGCTGTCAATAATGCACTGACATCATCTGCCTAAACAGCAGAAAACAACTTATTAAAACAGAGGAACACTTTTACAAAAGGTTTTTTTCTTAGAACGCATTACCATTGTTTCAGAATTCTTAAGTATACTGCAAAATATATAAATGCATATAGGAAGAATATGCATTTTACAATGCAGTTTACAAATGGCCTTTTGTGCCAACAGCATACACAAAACTGTAAAATATTTGTAAGTAAAAACTGTAATAAGATAAAAACTGTAACAAGATAAAAAGTAAAGACGTCAATATTTCTAAAAAACTTCAGGGACAGTTAAACATAATTCATTTTCTACGAAAAACAAACAAAAGCTTTCACTAGCAATCAGAATTTATGAAAAAAAAAAACCAACCAAAAAAACCAACCAGTTACTCTGAGTGTAGCTTTGAATTGTATTATAATACTTAGAAAAAACCACCCAAAAACCTAACAGCCAGATAGTTTCCTAAATTTATACTGGTACAAAGTTTGTTTGTTTTCCACTCCATCTTGAAATAAGAATTCTTGAGCAAGAAAATATTTAAAGAAATTTATATTATAAAGGCTCTACTGACTTTCCTTACCAGGCATATATATACACCGGAGGAAACCCTAGTATTTAAAATTTTGCAGAAGTTGCTGTATTACTATTTTTTTCTTAAAGGATAGGTTTTAGATGAGCTGCCACAAATGGCAGGTAAGTAGATTTCCCAAGAAGAGCCCCATCACTCACAGTGACCAGGTCCAATGGTGTTTGTCCTTCTTGGTTTTTCAGAGTAGGATCAGCCCCATGTGCCAGCAACAAGGCACAAAGCTGTGTCCTTCCTTTCTGGGCTGCTTCATGCAGAGGTGTGAAAGCCCACTTGTCCGTAGCATTCACACATGCATTGTACTTTATAAGTAAAGCCGCTACATCAACATGCTGGAAAATAAAAACACCTGTTAAATTCTAAAGCACCACACTGTACTAAACAAACTCAGAACTATTACTGATACTTCTCTGTAATTGTCATTCTGCATTTTCTCAGAATACATTTAGTTTTTAATTATGATTAAAAAAAAAAAAAGTATTAAAAGAAGGTGTTTTCTTCCTCACCTATAACACACCAGCAAAAAGTTAAGATTTCTTTTCTTGTGAAAAAAGGAGACTACAACAGAATCCCAAATCCAGGGGAATCTGAGGGAAAAGAGACTGGATTTGAACTTCCAATTTGGAAAGTACCCCAACTGTTTCGACTAAAGACTTAATGCAAGCATAAAGACCCAGGAAGTCCACAAGAACAATTAGTGTCTCAACATCAGTGAAATACGTGAAAATGAGATCTTGCTGATAAAAACTGACTGGCATAGGTAACAAAATGCATTTTATGGAACACCCTTCAGGCTGCTGGCTAAGTCTTCATGTTCAGAAAACTCCATTCTGTAAACTGCAACCACGATTTTACAAATTCAACAGTCTTCACCTACATAAATGAGCTGACTATGATCAATTTTTGTGTGTGTGTGTTTTACGAATAAGATTACATTACAACTCAATCGCAAAAGCTTTCTAGAGAGTATTGGCTCACAGTGCTGTAAATGAAATGTGTAACTTATTTATTAAAAAAAGCTTCAGAAAGTTTGAGATATTTACCCCATAAGATGCCGCATTATGCAGAGGAATCAAACCTCCTTTATCCTGTGCATTCACATCCGCTCCATGCTGTAACAAGTACTCTGCAACCTCCAAATTGTTGTAACCAGCTGGAAGGTTGCAAAAGGACAGAATAAATAGAACATGCTAAAAAACCAACCTCAACAGCCTGTAGAGAAGCAATAATTCACTTAAATTACTTAAAAGTTAAGATGTCCATCCCAGGGAAGACAGTGTACTGCCTATTAATGAGGACAGCTTCACTCAATTTAAGAGGATTTGGTTTTAAAACCTGTCAATAAACAATAAAAGATCCTCTTTGGCTAGAGAGAATAGGAAATTAAAGTCATTAGAGTTAAACAGTTTAGAAGAGGAACATAAGATTGATATGCATAAAATACTAAATTATTTTTTTTAAAGAGAAAATATGGAATCCTCTAGCTTAAGGCTACACTTTAAACTTGCTTAGACATAAAAAGTTCAGCCACAGTAACTAGTAACTCTCATCAAACCAGTTAATTAAAACACTGACCTGCTAAATGTAGGGGTGTTGAATGCCGTCCCTGTGTGTCCCGACAGTTGACATTGTCAGGTGAACACAGCTTTTTCACTCGGGCCAAACAACCTTTCTTTGCAGCATCTAGTAGAGCTGCATCTCCTCTAAGTAAGTCTTGAATATCAGTATCACCATCTTTAACTAGGTCTAGAGGAGTATTTCCATCTCTGTTTTTCTTCGTAGGGTCAGCTCCATGCTGTGCACATCAAAACCAGGTGGAAAGTACGTAAGTAAAATAAACAGGTTGCGTCTTAGGCATCTTATGCCTTATCGAGCAAATATTCTGATACATATATGAATCCTACAGGGACCCTTCCATTTCCTGTGTCAGAAAGGACAACATAGTTGCTAATAGTATCCCTTTTACTGAAAACATGCATTTAACTACAATCATTCAGAAAACACAAATCAATTTCGCAAAGAAGTCCAATCACATCGCAGACCGAACAAGAAAGAAAAGAAAGTAACCTCCCTCCAACATATGTAATACCTGTAATAGGAGTTTGCAAATCTCATATTTTCCTTTTGCTGCAGCTTCATGCAAGGGAGTGAATTTCCACAAGTCAGCTACATTGACAACTGCACCATGTTTAACCAGCAGTTCTGCAACTTCATAGTGACCATAGGAGCAAGCATTATGTAAAGGGACAAGTCCTCTGCAAACAATTAAAAAAAGAGAAAAATTCTCTTTAAAACTTGGGCCTTTTTTCACAAAGTGATATAAACTTAAAACACAATGCACCTTCAACAATCAGACCATAACAAAAACTTTCTTTTTTAAAAATTTTCCACAATAGTCTAACAGAGTAGGAATATCTACTGCCAAAGTTGTAAAAATGCAATCAGCAATGGCACTGAAGAGAAGTAAAAACATAGGCCAGAGAAATTCTTGACACTCTAGTCTCAAGTACTGCAAAATACTTTTGTGGGCATTCTGAACAGCTTCATTCTAACAAAACTTTTCATGAAAATAAAAAAAATTGAATGTCTGAAAAAAGATTGGATGGTTATCAGCTAGCAATATTCAAGAGCTGACAGATATCAGCAATTACAATTGCCAAGAGAATATACATTTGAGTATTTACCCCTTATCTTTTGCATGCACATCAGCTCCATGCTGAAGAAGATATTCGACAACAGATACCCTATTATATCCAGCTGCAAAATGAAGTGGTGTAGACTGACGTCCTTCAATATCTCTGCAGTTCACACTTTGAACTGTACATAGTTTCTGTGAAATTCCCAAAACAAAACATACATCACTATATACAGTCTTGGCATGCTTTCATTTAGTCATAAAATGTTGTTATACCCATCTAATTTTGAAAAACTGTTTTCATTAAGAAGAAAGTTTATTTCTTCATTTATTTTTACACAAACCCTTTACTTTTCACAGATTGCGTCCCAAGAAAAAAAAAACCCTAAATACTCCTTCCTCCCAAATCCACACCTGTGACTTCTTATTTACACTTTTTATAGAAGACAGACTTGTGGAGGTGGTGAACGTTAAATTTTGTCATCTGTAATATTTGTACAATACAGAGGTTTTAGGACAGTGATCACAACTCTAAAGCAGTCAGTAAAGTGCTGTTCGATTGCTTGTTTTGAGAAATTACAGTTTGGGATATAATTCCCTCTTATTTTTAGGACAGGTTTAAGCTTACTTTTACAGTATCCACATCTCCAGCCTTGGCAGCCTCCAGCAACTGTCGATCTGCATCAGAATTACCTAATGGGATACCTTCTGCAAAATAAATGAGGTTGCATGACAGGTAAGTGTATGTAGTTGAAGAAATTTGTTAAGAGAGGAAATCATTTGAGTATTTCAAGGATTTCCCTTTTTAAAAAAAAGCTCACCAATTACAGACAAGTTTTCTCTTTTTTTACTATGTACAACTGTAGCTACTAGCTCTAACAGTGTTTGCAAAGTTGCCTTTAGCAACATGCTTCCTATCCATTTTGGAGTACCATGGAACCAACTAAACATTCATATTTCAGGTTCAGAATTAGACTCTATCAAGAAGCTTACTTCTGTGTACAACATCCAAACTTTACTCTTGAACATCCATGTAGCCTGTTGCCTCTGCTCACAAATGCAAAGCAGCCATTTTTTGCTTTTGAAACTAATTTTCTACTTACAAGATTCCCTCCTCCCTATGTCAGGATTTTTCCAAAATTATTCCAGGTGGCTATACCATGAAACATTCTAAGCATATCTGACCATCTGTGTAGCCAAATACTAGAGAGTAAATAATATTGTTAACTACACCTACAGCAGGCACCCTCCCTGTGCACATGGTCATGTAACAAGAACTGCACAATCTAGTACTGTCTTTTGTAGAAAGTACTTTGGGGGGGGACTTGTGTTCACTATTATTTCTTGGCAGCACTCAAAATAGCAAGTAAAATGAAGCATCATACTACTTCAGAGGTGGATCTTCTGTAGTACCTTGTAGTAGCTGTTGCACACTTTCAGTCCCCATTTGTAAGGCTGTAAAGCCCTGCAGAGACACAATGGAAGGATCACATCCAGAACTCAACAGCAACCTGCAAGTCTGAAGATGACCACAATGTGCTGCTCTATGAAGAGAGGTCTGGCCAAGGTTATCTAATGCATTAACCTAAAAATAACACAGACAAGAAATACCCCCATCAAAATTTAATATTAAAGCTGTTTCATTGCTGACTGGGAGAGTTTCACAAGTATTCTTTTTACTTTTAATTAAAGAACATATTCAGCATATTTCCAAAGGTCATGAGATTTCAAAAGATAAAATTTAAACAAAAGCAGCTCATAAAGTTATAACTACATTTACTGAGGAAGAATAGCCCCCTTTTACACGCATGCAAATAATCCAGCGTAAACAGTTACAGCTATTTCACCACACACAGAAGTACACCGTTATTTTCCTCATGGCAGCACAAATCCTCAGTGCCAACATGTAGAACACCTTTTACCTGCATTGGCTTATTGTGGTTTTTCAGACTGAGGACTTTTTAAGTGTTTCAGTCAAGGTATAGTTAACAATTTAAAACTCTGCACCCAAAGATTACTTGTGTTCCCTACTGTTCCTCTGGTTTTGATCATTGCTTTGGAAACTTCACAGCAGTCAGGCTGTCATCAAATTTCCATGAGAGCAAGGTTCAGCTCCTAGTTTTGGAGGATTCAAGCATTACAGAGACTATCTCCTTTCCACTTTTCCTTTTTGTGGAAATTTGAACTAACCACTGTGTTATGATTTAACATTTTGCCTTCACTGTAATTTCTACTGCACACAACATCACATAAAGTCTGTTATACAGTTCAGTCTAGCTTCTTGTTGTTTGTATATATCCCCTACTTTTTTTTTTCTCTTAAGCATTTCCTTACTACTACTGGACAATGAAGCATCAAGTAAGACACTCTACAAGCTTTCAGTCAACAGTAAGAAGAACTGCATCCACACTTCTTCTAAAATACAACCAAAAAACCAATGATGCCTCAATGTATAGGGCTGTAACGACAGACTGATGGCCTATGCCTTAAGTGTATAGATATATAACCTTCCAAAACGAATTATTTTAGAAAAGTCTGTCTACTCAGCTGTCCATTCTCACAGTATGAAAACCTACATAGCAGGCAAACCTCAACAAAAAAACCTATGAAGAGTAACTCATACCTTAGCTTCATGTTTCACAACTACTTCAACAACATCATTATGAGCCTTTTCTGATGCAACATGCAGAGGAGTCAAGAAGCTTTAAAAAAAAAAAAAGAAAGAAAGAAAGAATAATTCAAAATGTATTTTGCAAAATCTTCTAAACAAACACTTAGGAGTATTCATTTGTAACCACTCACTCTTTTGTTTTTTCATTGATGTTGGCTCCTTTCCTCAGCAGCAATTCACATACTTGTTTTCTCTTAGGATATGGAGATGCAGCAGCACAGTGCTGAGAACATTAAAAACCGTAGCATTAAAAACTAGCTAGCAATATATAGGTTTTACTGCTTGCTGATCACCCGGCAGTTAAGAGCTGGTTGTGTGCAAAGTCAACAGAAAAAAAAGTACTCATAGAAGCTTATTAACTTGGGAGATTCCACATGGGCTTTGCATTTACTTTGGTATTTTCCAGAGCTTCCTCTCCAATAATTGCTGGAAACCTTCAAGCTTTACAAACAAACCTACCATATGTAGCTTGCTGTTGCTTAAAACTAGAGTATTCTACAGAAAAACAGTCATTTACACAACCCAAATTAAACAGGTAATTTAGATTAGTCTTTAACCTTAAGAACAAAATATCAATGTTACTTGTTTGACTAGACATTGGATCTTCCAGGTTGGTTTGCATTACATTGTTTGATACTGAAATTTTTAGTTCTAAACTATTACCTAGTATGTTTAGGTCAGCCACAATATATGCAAAGTAATTAATAAATCCTGAGGTATTACCAATGCTGTCTCATGTGTCTGCGGATGCTTGAAGTTCACTGTCTCCAAAGAAAGATGCTTCTTTATACGAGCTACATCTGATTCTCTTGCAGCCTGCAGCAGTGAGTGACCTTTGAATTCATCTTTAAAAAGAAATAAATATATACCAGAAGGTTACACTCCTTAATTGGAGAAGGATCAAGAGGACTGTTTCTTTCAGTTTGATAAAAATATGAATTTTATTCAGCAGACCATGGTGCAGACATTTCCAACTCAGACTTAAGCTTTTACATCACTTGACAGAAATTGTTAGCTAAGTGAAAATACTACAGGAATGCACTTTGTTTTAAACCAAACCCAGAGACATCCAACCGGCTGAACAAGATCTATTTCACTCAGCACTGTTCTAGGTTCCACTCTTTGCATATGTACCAACTAAAGCATATATAAATCTCTACTTTTCACCTGTCTTTGGGAAACGATTTCTAGATGCTAATATGAAGTCTAACGTTCTATTTACCAATAACTTCTGTACAAGTCCCACAAAGTTGTTATTTGACTGCTCAAGGATAGAATTTGAGGGCATTCTTTTCAACTCCTTAAGTCTGCTGGACAAAAATCAATGCCTTTCAACAATTTCTTTGAATTTTCAGCGATTGTGGCATAGTCAAATATATTCAGCATTCTAAACAGTTATGTTTTTTCTTCAAACCAAACACAGTGGAATAAAAATGAGTATTTCAACAGTCTTGATGCAATGACAGAAGCAAGTATGGAAAATGAAAGTGTACTGGCAAGGTCGTGATGGAAAGCGTGTATTCAGAGGAAAAAAAAAGCTACAAACCCCATCACAACCACATGACTATAAAACTGACAATAAAATTATTTTAAATGCTTACATTCCAAACACGTAACATTTTCAAATTATCAACAGTGAAATGTACTGTCCAACTTTGCTTAATTGCTTGGAAAGTGTAAGCATTTTCCAAACTTGATTTCTGGCAGGTCACTCTCAAGGGAACCTAAGTACACATTACAATCTGTAACTGTATAACTGATCTCACTTTATACTCACATGCTAATCGTTCTTTTAATTGGGGTGTTGGAGCCAAATCAATGGTGCTTTTGTTGTGACAGTTCAACAGTGTTGGGTCAGCACCATAACTTAACAAAAGAGAACATACTTCCACCCTGTTCTTAGAAGCTGCTTCATGCAGAGGGGTGAATTGCCACAGATCCATTGCATTCACACATGCTCCATGCTTGAAAGGGAAAGGGGTAAAAAAGATGCAATATCAAAACCAGATCATTAGAAAAAGGCTTTCATCATTAGTTTCAATGCTTTAGACCGTTAAGACAAAAAAAAAAAAATAAAAAATCAATGCTTGTATGCAAACTGTATCCAAGACATTCTCCAGACATTCATTCTCAATATAACACAACACTTCAGCACATTGCAGTTTTGAATCCTCTAGTGTCTCAGGTTGATTCAAAGAAGCCAAAGGTAGGCTAGTCTCTTCAGGCTTTCTCCAGCATCTCCAAAACGAGAGTAGCTCTGCTACAAGTCAAATTGGAGAAAAAGCCTAATTCATGTTTGAGCAAGGTGCTTGTTGCTCTAGAAAAAGTTAGAGTGAACAGCTGCACTAAGATAAGTATGTTCTGTGAATAACCCCCAAGATATGAATACCAAGATATCTAGAAGGAGATAGGCACTCAAAGTCGACTCCAATTCAAAACACTTAAATACAAGTTTCTGCATGATTAATATCTGTGTAATTCTTCTCCAGTAACATTATGTATGCACCTTGAGTTCTGTCTGTAAGCAGGTCTGATAGGACCTGCTCTTTCCCCTTGCTCCTGTTAAAGCTGTAGTGCTTTGCAAAAAATAATTCAAGATTCACTGGAGCAAAAATCCAACAGGGAACAGAACTGTAGCTTAACAGTTAAGACACGCAGTAGTGTCTAGGCAAGAGGGGTTTTTTTTTGTCCAGTAGCGCAACTGTAAAGTTTCACTTTACAATTGGCTTCTGAAGTTAAAAAAATCTTGACTATTTATACTTGCTATAATAGATGCTTATCTCAATAATTTTTTACCTGATTTTTGCTAAACAAATAGAAAGACACATGGAATTAGTGGGGACTGAGACATACAGGATAGAACAATAACAGTTATTCCCTGAGCATCCAAACATCTAGAGTTATCTGATGGAAGACCCTCAGCTGTTATAATGATTATGATTTGCTGTAGCAGCTGAGAATGGGCTGAGTTCAAAAGTCCCCTGGTGGATAACACT